TCTTCTTATTTTACAGAAAATTGTGATGATAAAAACAATCCACACGATGTGCTTAGAACAATGCCTGGCATATAATAAGCCCTAAATAAATAGAGCTGTTCTTATTATGTTTCATTAAGCACATCCAGAGCAGGGAAAATGGAAAGAGATATGGAAAGGCTATTAGTCCAGTGAATGAAGGAAAAACAATGGGAATTCAGTAGAACCAAATAGATTATGACAGTCCAGGGATGATCATTTTTTGTTTGTTTTTAAGAAAGCTACTTGTAAGCATATTAAACTTTGAGATTAGGAAAGAAAGGTTGTGCAAATGCAAGACATTGAGAGAGCCCACTTAAGTCACTGACAATAAATAATCAGTCTCCAGTTTAATAATCTTGAGTGATGAACCTTCCTTTTAACCTAGAAACCTGCCCCAGGGAAAACGTGCTTTAGTCTTCTGCCACATGGATTAAAAGATGCTGGTAAACAGTGCTCTAAAAGTTGTAAATAGATTGTCAATCTTTTTGTAACAGGGCAACAGCTGTGATATTACAATGAGTCATTACACACCTTCTGTTCACCAAGGAGCCCCGAACCATCTTGTCTACAGAGAAGTAAGTTGATGTGGGGGAGAGTACTTTATAATTTCAGCACAGAGAATCCTTTAGCTAAACTCCTGAAGCTGCAAAGTAGCCACAGACAAATAGAAGTACAGGATGGAAAGAACACAGGTCAGATAAACAAAGGCAATCAAACGGAGGCTAAGTTCCCAAAGAGTACTACACATTTTGAAGTGCATTTTTTTTGATAGCTTTAAAGAGATATAAAATAAACCTATATAGTTCATGATTGTAAAGACTTTTTCAATTGATTAGAAACATTTTTTGGTTGTGTCTGAGCACACATTACCTCATTTTTAAAAAATCATGTGCCATTGTTAAAAAATAGGCCACAACACATTCTTTCAAGTGGATTGGGGTAGAAGAGCCTTCTTAGTAGAGAGTAATCCAAAGTTTCCTCCCTTAACATTGTTGTTTCTTACACATTAAGGTCATTTAGACTCAACAAGTAAGTGATTCTTTAAAATATAAATATTTCTCAAAAGTATCAGGTATCTCCATTATTCATACTTTAAAGTAAGTTACTTTTATCACTGACTTTTCTCTCTTCTCCAACTGAGTATATGACCTTGAAGGCAGTGGAGTTTGAAATGGAAAATTAAAATTAAATTAAATTAGAAATCAAATTAAATTAAATCAAAAACAGAAGGACGTCTGAGGTGGGTTGGCTTGAATTAAGAACTTTGGTCAGATGTCCAAGGAGTTATTTTGGGAAGGAGAAGAAGACATTAGGACATGTGAGGAGAACAGAGACTAGATTCATTTAGTTTGCAATTATATTAGGATTTTCCGAAGTCAGTAGTCCATTTCTAAATTCCTATATATAGTACTTAAACTATAAGTTAATAATGCTTGAAGTACTTACAAGAGCCTGTGCCAGTTCATTACTACAGGGTGAATGTTAATGAATACATAATTAGCAGGGCCCACAGCATAATGAAAATGCAGACCACTTGTTCAAAAAGCAGGAGAAAAATGTTGATAAATGTACTAAAGTATAAGATGTTCTCCTGCCATATCTCTCTACTTATTATCGTGGTTTTTTACTTACTACTTAGTACTTCTAAGCAAAGAAAAAACAAGTTATTAGCATGAATTTTACTATCTTTATATTGTTCAATGTAAATATCAGACTATTTAAATCGTATGTATTGCCCAAATCATGCAATTTGTATTTAATAGATCATGCATATATGTTTCATTTTTACCAGAACAGTGGAACATGACACAAAATTTACTGCCTATATTTCACTTCTTGATACATGCACATTCTACCAACTCTCTCTCCCTTTGGCTTACTGATGACTAAGGAAAGGTTGAATGAAAAGAACTATGGATAACCCTTTCTCTTTCTTTCAGCGTCATCATTTTCAGCATAACTGGGCTAATACAGGTGAAAAATTCAAGAAATAAAAGATATGATAGGTGTAGAAATGAAAAAAAATCGTTCTTTCCTCCTTGCTTCTTTGGCCTGTCTAATAACTAAATTGACTTAAAATGAATTAATGAGAGAAAAACAAATTTAATTTCTTATGTATGGGAGCCCTATAAAAATATGAGGCTCCAAGAAGTGACCAAAGCAGGAAGCTTTTATACTTTTCAAACAAGAAAACAATAAATTTGTGAAGAATTGGCAAGACAAAGGCATTTAGGTTTGGGGTAGTAAATTGGTGAAGAAGTAACAAGGTTTGTTTATATAGCTTTCTCAGCCTAAATTCCCTATCTTGGATGATAAGGATGGCTTCTACCCTCCTGGTAGGGTAGGATACCTTTCACATGGGAGATTCATCTTCTGCTTTCAGGGAGACAAAGGAGAGTCAGTGTGTCCTCCTTGCACCAGCTGTTTCTCAAGTCCTTTCAATTCAAAATAATCAATATGGCAAAGTGGCATATTTTGGGGTGGCACATTCTGCTCCCCTTCGTAGAGTCCCTTGGTCATCTGTGTTTCTTAGCACTATTACCTTGTTGCAAAGTTCAAAACAAATTCTGGTTCCAACAGACAGCATGGCCTCTTGAGACTGTCAGCTTCGCCACTTAGTCATGGACATAAATACTTAACTTCACTGTCACATTGACTCTCATGGAACTCCCAGGAATCATGGGACCACCAGAATTCACCATGATGCACATTCCATGCAGACGAGGCAGCAAGGGATGTCTGGGGACATGCATGATGTGCAGATATCCCCTGCTCACCCACTGCTCCACTATCCCACTGAATTTCATCCATAAAACACTGGTTCAAATACAAAGTATTAAACAAAGCACAGGACCATTCTGAGCATGAGGCCCTGTGCAACTGCCCAGCCCTGCCTTGAGGTTTCTTATACACATATAAGGAGTCAATTAGTAAAGTAGTTTGCAAAGTAAGTGGAAACTGGCTAGTCCTTTTTTTTTTTTAATGTGATCTGATGCTGTCTCAGATGTGTAAAGTCATAGAATAAAAGCAGACCTTGTTCTGAAATTCATTCTTACTCTAAGATCTGAAGGAGGGAGAAGACCAGGAAGCAGACAGATGGTTTAACTTTGTCCTCAAACAAATACAATGTCTTATGGACTATAAATTTTGAACAAATTTTTAAGATAAAACATGAGATTTCAATGAAATTATACTTCTTATTAAGTAAAAGAGATAACTGAAAAAACTTAAGAGAAACTATCTGCGTGGGAAGACAATCATAGTGAGAGTGAGGAGGCCTAGGCTGGTCCTGGCTTTGCTAATTTGGCTAATTGTGGCCTCAGACATGCTATTTCATCACTCTAGCCCTCATTAACCTCATCTATAAAATAGGATTCAAACTTAGATGGTTTCTAGTTTAAAATTTGTTGAAGAGGCTTTATAACCCAAGAAACCTCTTTTAAAGATAAATTGTAGACTTTAAAGAATTCTTTACAGAATTTCCAGTGCTCCTCAGCTGTGCCTTCAAACAAATGTAGTTCCTTCACTGTAAACTAGGAACTATGGCTTGAACAATCATATTTCCAATTTTCTGCATCTTCTTTATCATGAAGGACTATTAATCATTGCTAAAAATCCAGTGAGATTTGGGACAAGTTGAGTGACTTTTTAGCTCCATGGAATTCAGTTGTTTCATTTTTTCTTTAGATCCTTTAGCTTGTGTGCAAACCAAAATTTACCTTGCTACCTGAAAGTTCTATTTTATAATTTATTGAATACTATTATTAATATTTTATAAGGAGATTATTATTGCTATATTTTTAAAAGAACTGCCAAAATATAAAGTATGACTTCTATTATTCTTGCAGAAAATTGATTTTTTTAACAGAAAGATAGACCCAATCTTATAGTCAACAGAGAAATAAACATTTCAAGTAGGAAACAGAAGAGAGTTAAAATATGTTGAGTTCCTATTATTTACCAGGTACTATGTTTACAAACATCATTCTGTTTAACCCTTACATAATCATCTGTGGTGGGAGAAAATAAAAGAATATTACCAGTTACCTATGCTAAGCTGGAAAGTCTTCTGAAAGCTTTTATTGCGAACTTCAGCCCAGACTTCCCTCCCACATTCCAGCATTGTACAATCCGACCAGCTGCATGACAAGGCCACTTAGCACTGTCATCCCAAAATTAATAATAAGCTCATCCTCTCTCCCCAAAAGCCTTCTTTAGCCACAGCCTTTCTCAGTTCAAGTGATGACAGTGTACGCTTCCAGTTGCCTAGGCTAGAAACCTTGGAGCCATCTTTGCCTCCTTTCCTTGCCCTCTCCACCCAATCCGTCAGGCAATCCTTTTGAATCTTGCTTCAAAATAAACCCAGCATGGATCTGACCATTCCTCACTAGCTCTACCTGAGTCTGAGCCAACATTGTCTGTCTCCAAGAAGGTGAGCTTTCCACCTGCCCCTCTCCTGACTTCCTGTACAGTCTATATTCCCAACCAGTAGCCAGGATGAGCCTGTTCAGATACAAGCCATGTTAATTCTAAACTCAAATTCCTGTGATGGTCCCCATTTCACTCTTAGAGTAAAAGCTAAAAAGCCCTGAGCCACCCTTGATCCATCCTTCCCTCTACCTCCCCACAGCACCTTCCACTACCCTACCATTTTTTCTTCTACTAATCTACCCTCCCTTACTTCACTCCATCCCCAACTTCCTGGCAATTCCAAAAATAATTGGGCACACTCCCACCTTAAGGCATTAACCTTGGCGGTTCCCTCTGCCTGGAACACCATTCTCTTGCACGTGACTAACCCCCTCACATCTTTCAAGTTTTTGGTCACATCTCACTTTTTTAATTAGGTCCCCTTATCATCCACATCCTCCAACCCACACACTTCTGAGCCCCTTTAACTTGGTCTATTTTTTAAAAAAACTGCGGCATGTTTTATCTTCTAAAATACCCTATACTTTATTCCTTCACTGTGCTTATTGTTTACTTTCTGTTTATTCATCTTCACCAAAATGAAAATTGTACTGATTATTTGAAGCACCTAGCATAATGCTAGGCATATGACAGATGCTCAGTAAATCTTTGTGGAATGGTGAAATGAGTGAGTGAGTGAATGCTTTCATTTGTTCTGTTTGTTCCTTGTGCTAACCTGACTAAGGTAAGCTTCCATTTTACAAATAAGAAAATTGAAACTCCAAGAGGCTAGGCTATTTTCACAAGTCAAAAGCCTTGTAAGTGGCAGAGTTGAGATTAAAAGACTTCTCTGATCTGAATGAAACTTTCCCACTTTATTACACTGCAAAACATGTACTATATGAAAATATAGGTATTCCATAAAGCGCAGTGCACTTATAGTTTCTAGTTCCCTTTCCCCACATTCAGCCAATATTTTTTAATGCACCTCTTGAAATACTGTAAGTAAAGTGACTGGTGTATAGAGAAACTCATAAACTGAATGATGTGAGGTGTATTAGTTAGGACTCTGGTTCCAGAGTCATAGAAACAAACCAACTTGAGCTAGCTTAAGTCAAAACATGAATTTAAAAATAAACAATTTTGGGGGCTGGCCAAGTGGCTCAGTTGGTTAAGAGCTCACTCAAGAGTGCGAGTTCTGAGCAACAGGGTCGCCGATTCGATTCCCGGCCTGAGCTGAACTGCCGCTGAGCTGCCAACAGGTGGCAGGATGGCTCAGCTAAAAAAATAAAAAGTAAATAAAATAAATAAACAATTTTTAAAATTTTTCTTTTTTTTTTAAAATATTTTTGTTGGGGATTGTTGCGGAACAGTGTGTTTCTCCAGGACCCCTCAGCTCCAAGTCAAATAGTTGTTTCAATCTACTTGTGGAGGGCGCACCTCAGTGGCCCATGTGGGAATCGAACCAGCAACCCTGGTATTATGAGCACTGTGCCCTGTACCCTAACCACCTGAGCTAACTGGCCATCCGATTTTTAATATTTTTAAGTAGAACCTGTGATAGGAATATATGAGCTTATGGAAACAACAAGAAAAAAATTAAAAAGTGAGAGCAGGAAGCATGTAAGTTTAGAGAGTTCTTGCTCTATCTTCCATGTATATCTCTTTCACTCTACTTTCTCCACAATTTACCAGTGTTTGCTCCCTCTGCCTCTAAGGAACAAGATGACCATGCTCCAACTATAACTTTTTTACCCCAACGAGACTGCAATCTCCTAGTCCCAAATTATAAGCAGTCCTTAGGTGAAGCAGTCCTGGCCCAATCAACAAAGGCCAAACATGAGAATTCAATGACAAACAAATAATAGAGGACATCTTTGAAGGTTGGGGGATTTGGAGTTCCGGGCAGATCCTAGAGAAAGGGGCTGAGCAGATACCACAAAAGTAGCTGACTTTTGAAGAACCCAGTGGAATAGTGGACAGTGCACAACTGAATCAAACAGCTGAAGTTTAGATTTCTGATTTTGTGGGTACTTTTCGTTTGTTTCTCTTTTACCTTTCTCTTGCTCTTGTTCTTTCTTGGATATAGGGGCTAAATATCAGTTACTTGGTGATAGAAAGGAGCAGAAGAAAAAAGAGGGACTCGCGGAGTAGGAAAAAGGAAAACATCATTCCAGAGAATTGGGAATTCTGATTCTCATTTCAATTCTGTCACAAAAGGGCAAATGTCTTGGGCAAGTCAGTTCTCTGGTCTGTTTCCTTATCTGTATAATGAGGAGATTAAGCAAGAATCAGTAGGTTTCCCAACCTGCTGAATTAGGAGAATGAACTGGGGAGCATTTTCAAATGCAGATCACCCTGACTCTGCCCACGAATATTTTTATTTAATCGGTCTTGCATGCAATTCTATGATTCATATTTTTCAGCAGCTTTCCAGACTATTGTGATGATCAATCATATTCGGGAACCACTAGCTAGATGCCATTTAAGATACCACCCAGTATTTAAGATATTTCTTTACATAATTATTTTTTAAGAAAGCACTTTAGTTGTAATAAAGTTGATTTCTTATTGTATATCTGGGATTCTTTTTCAGAAATTGCATAATAATCTTTCCATTTTGTTTCTACAGTCAATTAAGAACAATGTCTAGCACAAAATAGATTCTTAAATACTTATGAAGGGATCAATGGTCAGTTATATGTTTTAACAATTATCAATTTTCCATTATCTCCTTGAGTAACCGATTCCTCTTCTATGTAGGGGAAAAATTACTTCAGAGTTTGTCTGATTTAGTGGAATATTGAGACTATTTAATGGAATAATCATATAGAAAACCAGGGCTTATAATCATAATTATACCTAAAAGCTTTTGATAATGGAATCTCATTTTTATTCTTTGTAACATGGACAAATGACATATATGTGAAAATATAATATTGCCAGTATATTTTAAGTGCTATGAGAATACATGCCGTTATTATTGTTTTTGCATTTTATCACCCACAGTATTCTAATACTTAGCCAGTCATCTTTGCTAGTCTCAAAATATTGCTCATACAAGTTCTGCATAGAATTGTATAAGCCCTGAACTTTGTGAATTTTTAGTCCTTTTTTGGGAAACAAATAAACTGTTATGAGTTTCTAAAGGGACTGAACTTTGAGGCAGAGATTCTGGGATGTTGTTCTGCCCTTGTGTCTATTAGCTGAATAAAACTGGGCAAGTCATGTCACCTCTTCTGGCCTATAGTTCATCTTCTGTAAGATTTTTACATTCATTTAGGCACTGTAATTCTTAAAAATAATTAAAAGGTTAAAAAAATTACTCACACCAGTATTCTCAATTCTGAATATCATTACATCTTTGCTTAATACTTAGATTTACTATTCTCATTCTGTTCTGACACTATTTTAATATGGTACTTAGGGCCACTAAAACATTTTACTTAAAAGAAAAAAGAAGCAGAACTCTGTTGATTCCTACACTTTTAAAACCAGATTATTTCTGAGTGTGACACAAGTCCTTTTCTTTGTGACCTTTTAGAAAGGAAAAGCACATCTCAGCATACATACAGCAAGTGATGTGATCAGTGTTGGTATCCTTCCCATATGTCTGGGACCAATTAGAAGTTCTATTTTATCACTTTTCTTGAGAAAGCATTGTTGATAATAGGGGAATGGTTTGGCTTAGGCAACACCAAGCCCCTAGGAGTGCACTTGGGAAGATTATGCCATATTGGTGTCTTTTTGTGATGTCAGAACTATGCTGGAAAGAAAAATATTTTTTACACCCGTTTTAGTCACAGCTGCTTAGTTGCAGTATTGGTAAAACAAATAATGCACGAAAAGTAAATACAATAGTGTGTGTAATATATCTTACAAAAATCAAGTGATTGATACTTGCATTTTATTTATTTTTAAAGTGGATATAATTGTTAATAATAGAAAAGTAGATTGTAGAATATCAAACCTATTTATTGCAGTTACATTTTTAATGGTTGATTTTATTTTCTGAAAAGCATAAAAATACAAATTGTAACATCAGGCAAGAACGTGGCCATGAAAATTTTCTATGAAACTCTCTTCTCACGTCATTGAATTTAATGGCTGCCAGGATAGTTCTTAGGAGATTTTCTTAAGTATCTTTTTGTTTCAGGCCAGTTATTGCATCTAATTATTGCATTTTGTTGTTTCAGAACTGTTGAGCATCACATGCCAAGAGTTATATCAAGTTAAAAACAAAAAACAAAAAACTGCATAGTTTGGATCTTTTCCTGCCTTAGAAGCAAGAAAAATGGAGAATTGATACTCAAAGGTAAAATGGTCTCCTTTCCTATTATACAACACATCCCCACAGCTTCCTCTTAAGCCATCCTACATGAAACAATTTCTTTCTCTCTCCCTCTCTCTCTCTC